AGAAAGAGAGAAAGAGAGAAAGAAAGAAAGAAAGAAAGAAAGAAAGAAAGAAAGAAAGAAAGAAAGAAAGAAAGAAAGAAAGAAAGAAAGAAAGAAAGAATAATGAAGAAAAGCCAGAATTGCAGCAATATGGTGTCTTGCCTAAAAGTAAAGTGTGAAATATAGAAGAGTAAGACCACAGGGGCACTAACACGGGCATGCCATTTACTTTTCCAGCAGGGTGTCTGTGACTCATAGATAATTTATAGCTCTATTCAATTAGCAAGTTAGGCGCGAGAGTGCCAGCATCTGCCCATGCAGCTGAAAGCAGGAATCTCGATACTGGGTGTTATTGATGATTATGGGGAGAAAAACAGTAGCAAGGGAAAGAGATTTAGTTTTCTGCAGGGCTGAGAAGGGGAGGGGGAAGATGAATCACAGAGAGGAATCTTTGGAGATTCAAACATGGCAAATAAATCTGTGGTCTGGAGAGGGAAGCCGCAGGCACACAGATGCCAGGCTAGGAGGCACGACGTAAAATACGGGGCAGCAGACTTCCAGCTTTGGGGTAAATGTAGGTCTTTACAGAGGTGGGGACTGAGCATATGTTTTCTGTTCTACATTTATCCTCTAAAGTCTCCACAAGGTGGTTTTCTTGTTTGTATTAGACAGGTGCTTTTCATGAATGGACAGATGTTTTTCTCAATTGGGCTGGCTAAATCAGAGAGGAAATGAGAAGATACATTCTAACTAGATTTGTGAAAGGCATCTATACTTCACATTTGAACTTATTTTAGGATAAAATCACATGACATTTGCCTTTAAGACTCAGCATCACCTCTTTGCACTGATTCTTTGCCCACTATTCTAACGTGTCACTCTCGCGCTGGGCATCTTGGGTATGCAGTAGCCGCTTTCATGACAGGGTCTGAAAGTGCACATCCTTTTAAAATCCCATCCTCATCTGTTGTACTCCTTACAAACAGATGTTGGGAGGGAGACAGGCACATGAAAAGTTGTTCAAGCCAGCCCATCCATTTTCTTGGCATTATAGCTTTTCCATTAATTCACAAAATTATTAAATATTCAATATCTGCCTTATAAATTAGTAAGTAGAGGATATGTGAATTTTTATTTCATTTTACAGTCCCTGAGATAGCCATATGAGAGCAACTATTTTATTCATCATGCAAGGGGACAGTGCTTACATGTTCACATTTCAAGATCTAAGACCTTCATGCCATGCTTGAAAATGATGCTTTCACAGGGTATATATGCAGGGAAATGCTTCAAGTTAAAATTAAAGCTTGCCTCAAGTTAAAATTAAAGCTGTTAATTTTTGTCAGTGAGATATGAACAGGAGCATTTTCTATTCTTCTAAAACTTGGAAAAATTTTAACAGACAAATACTCATTTAAGCTCTGCAGTTTTTGCATAATTGCAAGGTTCACATTCTCTGAATCCCACCTGTTTTGTGAACTTCTGTTC